CAGATGCCGGATTCAGATGTTTGGGTGCTCTTCACTGTTTTCTTTGCAAAATTCGCTTCGGTCACTTTCGGTTGCCATTTAAACCACTTACTTGTGAGGTCTCACAGAGTCACAGAATATCTGAGGTTGGCAGTGATTGACAGGAGTTGTCTAGTCCAATCCCATTCTCAAACAGGGCAATCTGCAGCAGGTTGCTTACAGCTGTGGTCTATGATGTTTTGAATATCTCCACAGATGGAGACTCCACAGCCTCTTTCTGCAACCTCCAATTTTTTTTCCTTACATTTAAATGGCATTCCCTGTATTTCAGTTTGTACACATTATCTCTAATTCTTTCACAGGCCACCAGTGAGAAGAGTCTGGCTCCCTCTTCTTCATTCCCTTTATCAGGTATTTACACACACTACACTACTAAGACCCCCCCGAACCTTCTCTTCTCCAGGCTAAACAGTCCCAGCTCTCTCAGCCTCTTCTCATATGAGAGATCCTCGAGTCTCCTAATCATCTTCATAGCCCATTTCTGACTCACTCCAGTAATTCCATATCTTTCTTGTATCTGGGAGCCCAGAACTGGGCACATCAACCCAGATTTGGTCTTGTCAGGGCTGAACAGAAGGGAAGGATCACCTCCCTCAACCTGCTGGTAACACTCTTCCTAATGCAGCCCAGGAGGCTGTTGACCTTCTTTGCTGCAAGGACACATTGCTGGCTTACGGTCAGCTTCTTGTCCACCAGGACCCCAAGGCCTTTACTGCAAAACTTCTTTCCAGACAGCTGACCTGCTTTCGAGGTATTTCACTGGGGAAGTCTCCCACATGTTTCCCAACAACTCAATTGCTGTTTTTCAGATGGCTAATGACATCTCACATGAAAGTGTATCTGAGTGCACTCATAGTATTGGCTTAACATCTGGTTGCCTAGCTCATTAGTCCATATGGATCAAGGGAATGACTACTAGTTTGGAATGCCTGCCATGCCTCTTGTCTTCTAAACAAATCACCTCTGCTTTCCCTCATGGACATTTTTTATCCTTCAGGGGCAGGGCTGGTCGTTATAGCCAGAAAGGTGGCAGTTTGCACATGCTGTCTTGGAGCTTTAGCTATTTCTGTGGCTTTGTCTAGAGATGTTGGAAATAATGTTGATAGAAGTTCCTTACTCAGTGATTACCTTGGCACATTCTCTGTCTTCTCTTTATGTCAAGGTAGATGTTATGGTTGGGATGTGAAAGAAGACAAAAAGACCTAGGCTTATCATATAAGCAGATACAGTAAATGTGCCCTTCGCCTCTGTTTCCTTGGAAGCGTCAAAAGCAGACTTGAAGACAGAACTTATGCTCTTTCCTTCTGCTTGTGTATGTAACTGCAGCATCTCAGTTAAATGCAAATGAATTATCTCCAGCATAAACTTCTGAACTTATCTCCAGCATCCACTTGTGAACTGCTAAAACCAGAAGCTGTTATCCAGGGAATGTTAACAACAAAGCCTAAGGTTTAGGATGAAGAACAAATGAGACAGAAAGAAAGTTTTTCTATACCAAAAGTAACACAAGAGATTGGAGTTAAAATGCTGTGTAAAATCTTGTTTTTCATAATACATTTCCTTCCAGGTAATTAACAGTGATAACACAGTGATAACACATTTAGAGGCTGACTTTGAAATCACGGGTGAATTAAGAGAGTCTATGAGGATCCTGAAACTATGTTATTGTTCTTGTAGGTGTCTTGTGTGCTGAATAGCTGCAAAATCAAATGCCTAACATAATCAAAATATTGTTCTTTTCTAAGAGATAATGCAAAAAAGAAATCTCTGTAATTTCATTCCTTACGTCATGAGCTGAGCTGACAGTATAACATAGCAATAGCCTAGAAGTAGTGCTTAGAAGGAAAAAAAATCTCTTTCTACTGCTGAATCCTGCTTCATAAGTAACTAGCGTATTATACTGTCTGGGTAGCTCTAAATGGAAAGAAGATAAAAAGAGAAAAACTTGATAGATTATTGAAATCAAATCAGTTTTATCACCAGTGGAAATGTTTGTTGAGGGGAATCCAGAAATTAAAGGGGTTACTGGCATTGGTCATCAGTGATTTATCCACAGTAAAGCTGCTTTAGGGAGGTCCTTGCAATAGGGATGTGTGACCCACTTGTCTGCATTGCCTTTCCACTTGATATGAAATTCTAGCTTGCTTGCAATTTCAGTTAGCCTTCCTTGCATCCCGGGAAAGAAATCACCAGAGAATCTGAGTAAGTTTGCCCTGAAAATGCAAGAGTTCCCCTGTTACTCTGACCCTGCAGAGGAAGCTGCAAAATGACAGTAGCGGAAGGCTGACAGTAGCTTGGGACCACAAATATTCCATCTGTGGTTTGTTTGGGGTCCCTGGGTGTCTTCCTCTTTTTATCTACAGGTTTCCCAACAGGGCAAAAGTGTCAAGAGTCTTGTGGTTAGGTAACTGAATGGAGACGTGTTTACTGTTATTGTTTCCCACCTGGCAAAAAACTGTAACAACCAGATCTTGTTTGTCATAAATTATCAGTTTTCTCATGCTTCTCTATGGGAGGTGTAAAGGGGCCATTTATCTGTCACATTTTGGCAGATTGTAGGATTGCTTTTGGTTGAGGGCTGCTTTCAGTTTAGGGTTCTGGGAAAAAATGTAACCTGGAAAAGAAGTGTGGAGGGGAAAAGCCACAGGATCTGCTCACCTCTCAACAAGTTCCTTGGTGGTTGTTAGAGGAAATAGTTATTCCGATAACTGTCATCTCTGGGGCAATTCAGGAGGAATCATCCTGACAGGTTGCAGATGTTTCTCCCTGTAAGAACTAAGATTCCACCATTTCCTGGTTTCATCTGGGACAGAGCTAACTTTCTTCATAGTAGCTAGTAAGAGGCTGTGTTTTGGATTTGTGCTGAGAAGGCAGCTGATAACATACTGATGTTTATAGTTGTTGCCAGGACAGTCAAGGACTTTTCAGGTTCTCTGCTGTGCCAGTGTCTGCAGGTGCAGGAAAAGCTGGGAGGGAGCACAGCCCCAGTTACTAGCTTGGTATTCAACCTTAGGTTTAGGATTGAATCCAAATTGGCGAATGACATATTCCATATCATGCACATCATGCCCAGTACATAGATGAGGATCCGTCTGGAAGCTCTCTCTCTCTGAGTCATCTCCTTCTTTGGGTCACCCCTCTCTTGGGATCATCTCACTCGCCAGATCAGCTCTCAGTTTATCAGATGTTCGGGCTCTTATCTTTTCTGGGATTGCAGTTCTGGGACTCTCCCTGCTCCAGGATCATTAGCCAGGAATGGGCTGAGCCTTGGTCATCGGGTGGTAAGCAGTATCACTGTGTATCACTCATTTGTATATTTGTATATATTATTATTGTTATCTTTATTATTATTATTTTCAGTTTTATTGTAGTTCAGTTATAAAATTGTTCTTAATTCAACTCACAAGTCTCTTTTCCCTTTACCCCTTTACCTCTCTCCCCCACCCCTGGGAGGAGGGAGGGTGAGCAAGCGATTGTTGTGGAGTTTTGCTGCTAGCCAGGGTCAAAACCATACCACACCATTGCCATCCCAAGAACTGATGTGGAAAGCAAGAGCAAACACAGTCCTCTGGCATTGTTGACACACTGAAGACGTAATTTATAAGGGAGGGGTAGAGAGGTTCCTCTTTACCTCTTCCCTTCATTTGGCTTCTGGTAATGCCAACAAACAATTATTTGGAAGGGCTTTGACAGTGTCTCTGTCCAGCCTAAGCCTTTGAAAAGGACAGATAACTTTGCCGTATACAAGGCAAGAGATGCTAAATATGTGCATGTGAGTGTGTGTTACAACAAGGCTTTCTCAGATTAACTCAGTTAAGTCTCAGACAGCAAGAAGCCAATCTGGAGCTGTCCTGACCGAGGAACTAAGGTCAGTAACCAGCCACTTACAGTGCTCTTCCAGGGTGAAGATACCTTTTTCAGTAAATGATGCAGGGTGTTTTCCTGCTACAGCCAAAATCCAACACAGCTCCCAAAGCATATGTGTCTTCACTTCACCCATGTAACCAGGCTTGATCCTGCTGCAGCTGCCCAGTGCCCTGATGATGAAGTATCACAGTAAATGCCATCCCCCTTTTCCCAGCCCCTGCCTTCCTCCCCAGCTGTATGATTGCCAGTCATTTGCTGAAAAAAAATGCCTCTGAAATACATACTAAATGACCTTTAAGCAGCCCTGTGGGAGCAGAGGGACATGCAAGAAACCTTCCCATTTGCATGGCTGTGCAAGGGCTTTGCACAATAACAAAGAGGTCACTCAGGGGCACACAGGGGCTGAAAATTTGGGACCAAAGTGCATGTAGGAGTAGAAAGAGGACCAGACAGAGGCACGATCCCACCTATGTACAAAGCATTAGAGGCAGTTGTGTTCAAGGGTAGATAAGAGACATGCAGAGATGCTGCTTCTTTCTGATCCATGGTAGGAGTGTAGAAATCATCAGCAACTTCAGATGTTTGCTAATGCTGTGTGTTCCCACCTGTCACAGGATGTGTAATTTCTGGCAACAATTAAGACTGTTACTACTCATCCCTGCAATCGAGATTTCAAATTTTTTCTTAGGCCTGGTGTAATTTCTTTCTGGATATATCACCCACCTGTTACATTAAAGACACTCCAAAATCGATCTTCAGTCACTTAACCGAGCTGAAAACATTGTGTGGTTGGAAGCTTACCCTCTTCAGGACTGCAAACCAATTCTGTTGCCATTGTGCAAATCTACAGATGTAGTCTGTCCCTCTTGCTGCCATGCTTCTTCCACCAGTGTCAGGTAACCCACCTGGTCAGGCTGGGTGCTTTGCCCACCTCCTGCCTCTGTGGGGAGTGTCCCTCCTCCTCACTGTAAGGAGAAACTTTTCCAGACACAGAGGGAGTGGAAGAAGGTCTTGAGTATGGGGAAGGAGAGAGTTGGCATCACTGTGGTTTTCCCACATCTTACAGGGATGACTTTCTCTTGTGCTCTCTTTAGGGGCTACCAAAGACATGGGGAAGATGTTGGGCGGGGATGAAGAGAAAGACCCAGATGCTGCCAAGAAAGAAGAGGAACGACAGGAAGCTCTCAGGCAAGAAGAGGAAGAGAGGAAAGCCAAATATGCCAAGATGGAGGCTGAAAGAGAAGTAATGAGACAAGGGATTCGAGACAAGGTAGGGGTCTAGCTTTCAGCACGCTCTTGGCAACTCATAATGCTCAGTGGAGAACTACTGTTTTCAGCTGATTTGTGACCAGTTCCCTGAGCATCTGGATAGAGCCAGGTAATTATTTTGCCACACTGAACTTTCTAATCTTGTGCACTGTCCCTTGAGCTCTGCCTCTGTTTAAACACACCTCCTGCACTGAAATCCCTGCAAAGTTGAAACAGAGAGTAAAGATGAGGGGAAAAAGTATCTATTTTTCTCATCATCTGTTAAATGCTCACATTTTCTTAGATGTTAGAGGTTTCTCTGTCCTGATGTGGGTGCTTTCCAAGCTTGCATTTGTGGTTTGTGAGAAGGGTCATAATTCACTGTGCTCCTGAGAGATACAGTCCAAGTATCTTTTATATTTCTTCCAAGGCTTTCTTTGTGTTGACAGGTGAAATGGGACAAACCTACTCAACTTTTCTAAGTAGGCTTCCACTACTCACAGAGGATTCGTCTGAAAGAAAGGGAGTTTCATTTATCTGCGAACTTAACCATTAGGAAGTACTATCTTCTAAGTTGATTCTTGTAATCTTGTATCTTAAGTTGATTCTTGTAATGAGACAATTTGGCATGAGAAGGAAACAAATAATTACAAAGATAAAGAATAAGATTGCAAAGACATATACAAAACAAACCTTTACTAGAGAAATTAGCTTAATTTAAGGTAGCTGAACCCATTGTTACTGTACATTAGCATTTAGGTAATGATGTGTGAAGGGTGCCTCACCATCAAGACCAGGTCAAAATTGTCTCTTTAGAATGACTTAGTTATATATATGAAGAGGTCCTGGAGCTCAGATAACTTGGAAAGAAATGTGGGTAATTGTTGAAGGAGGGGTTTCTGATGACGAAAGCCTGTGTGTTGACTTGTATCATGTACCAAAGAACAGCAGAAAATACCTATAGACAGAATGAGGAAGTTCTGCTCTGAGAGATGTTCCCTGTGCCGTGCCTACCTCTGTGCAGGTTACAGTGCCCTAAGAACATGTCTGGGGAAAAGCTTTGAGGTCTCATCACAGAGCTGAAAGTGGCTGTCTATAAAGAAAACTATGTCCATGGTGGGACAACTTCTGACCCAATCCTTATGATTCAGGAGGGAAGCACTGATAAGGATGAATTGTTGTGGTGGCATAGTACAGCTTGTGAAGAGGTACAGAGAATTGTTCTGCAAATACAGAAATTTGGGACTACACCTCTAAGAAAGTACAGGGAATTATCTTCCTGTGACAATGCCAGAGAAGAGTATTCATATGATATTTAAAAGAGGGTATTAGTTACCAGGCAGACAGACTGAGAACCCCTACCTGTCAAAATTAGTTGGTTTTATAATGTAATTAATGAATATTTAGGTAGTGTAATATATTAATATATCAATGTGTGCAGTATGTGTTTAAGGTATGTTTATAGGTGGAACTGTTTCTAAGCAATAGTGTAAATCTGCATTAGACATGTGGAGAAGAAAAAAAGAGTAATGAATTACTGAGCTGTGGACAGATGGGCTAATACCCTTTTTCTTTGCTGGTCAGTATCTCTTCTGCTAGACTGCTGGAGTGTTCCCAGATGAAGATGGTGGTTGCGTTTTTCTTGCTGTTGGGCAAACTGCTGTAAAAGCATTAAAAAAATCTGAAATGCTCTCTATTACAAATCCAAGGTGATCTAGACTAGAATTCACACGTTCATGGGTAGGATGCATACAGCCTGAGCTTGGATGAAACATCTAGCCATCAGGGAGATGTTGTTGTTTTTGGCAGGAAGCTTTTGGTGTGGAAGTCCTGGGACTGCCAGGATGGGTGCACCTGCCACAGGCTCTTGGCAGTCTTGCCTGTGTTGGTCAGGTGTGGCACCTCTCCCCACAGACAGCTATGGTAGGGCCCAGAAGATCTGTCAGGCAGTAGTGTTGAGATCAAGCCCATCAGATCAGAAAGCAAAGTGCGAACATGCACCTTGGGGTTGAAGGAAGTTAGAGTATAACCCAGTAATTTTCCTTACATTCTTACAATCCGTTTTCAGTATAAGATGCTGGACTTTAGTATGGGGTAGGAACTGGCAGGCAATTGGTGGTCCATTTATTTAAAAATGTCATGTCCAAATGTCATCCTTAAAAATTAATTTCCAAATGAAAATGCTGCATATTTTTTATGAAAAAAAATATTTGATTGTTGCATAACTCATTCTACCCTTTCCCTAAGCCATTTCTGAGCCCAGCTGCATTGCTAGGCTGAGGGCATATGTATCTCGATTTAACAGATTGGATTTAAAAACTGAAGTAAGCACATGCTGGAACATATTTGTTGTATCTGTCACCACTCCTTTCAAGCGCAGTCATAGCTCCCGTGTTTCCTGAAGCCCTAAATGAGAGAGTGTACTCACGACATTTAAGAGCCAAGGCAAAAAGTGCGGAACAACAAACATGATGAGCCTGCCCTTTTTGTAGGCCTCACCTAGAGCCATATTAATTAACTGATAAAGCTATGATTCCCTGGCTGGTTTCCCTGACATTCTGTAAATGCACTAAGGAAGTAAACTTGTGACTCAGGACACACACTTGTAAACTTGTATCCTGCATAAATAATCTGTTCCTACTAACTCACTCAGCTCACGTGCTCATTTCTCGCTGTTTTATGTGAGAAATGAGCATATATCATTGGGGAAATCTCTAATACTTAAAACTTCTTGGATTTAATTCATACCTGTTAATAGCTTGTGTATGTATGCATACCAGACAGAATCTGTTTCAGTTTTCTCCTCTATATTTCTGCTTTTACTGGAATTGGTGAAGAAATTAAGGTAATTTCTGAATGAACAAGTAAAGGAGAGAATAATCCAACCCACTTCCTATTCTTTCAAAATTTGTTTCACATTGGCAGTCATCAATTCACAATATTTGTATATCATCAAATCGATCTCTTTGTCAGGACAAAGTAATCTCTCTCTTTCATGGAACTCTCAAGTGTAAAAAAATATAGCTCCTTTCTACAGCTTTATCCATCTTTTCTGATTCTGCAGAACACAACTTCATCTTTTATATGAATGCTTCCTGGGATTATCACTAGGAGAAAGAAAACACAGGGAACTGAGCTCCTGTGTTTTCACATGCTGAGTGCACTCCCCAAAGCAAGACGTCCTGTTGCTAATCACAAAGGTAAAGCACGACATCACTATAAAAACTGCAATACAGAGCTTTGACTGAAAACAAATAACATTCCTCCAAGTATCCCTGTTTATCCTCTCTGCACAACTAACACTTTGCCATATCACTCAGGAGTCAATGCATTTCCAAGAGACTTTACCACCCAGTACTCAGCCTGACTCAGCAAAGTCGAGGTAGAATACAGTATCCCAGCACCCTAGTACGTGCTCTGTAATTAATACTCTACTAGTCCCGACTGTTAGACTGCTGTTGTCCAGACAGTGCCTGTAGTCTGGCTTCCTGCAAATCTTATGCATGCCTTACAGGGTCAACATTGCTGAGCCCATGCTGAAAAGTAGTAAGAGCTCAAGGCTATCCTCACAATGGTGGGATTCAACCAAAAAGGGTGTAAGCATGGTCTTGTGTCCAAATGGCCTGGCTTTAAGACATAATTTAGATTTGAGTTTAGGCCATGCTTGAGATTGAGCACAAGCTGCTTCAGTAGCTGTTCTTCACTCAGTTCTCAGAGTGGCCCAGCTTGCCTTTCATGAGCTTTGTGTGCTGTAGGGAACAAAGCAGAATAATAAAGATCCCCCCCCCTCCAAATTGAGCATAAAATCTGCATGAGAAGTATGGAAAGGTAGCAAATAGAAAATTCAAATACTGGAAGAATTAAGGTCACCTCTACAATTGTAGTTGATCCTGTTGGGTGCTATGTAAAGATTGTGGCACAGTGCTTAATTGTGTAGTCATACATTTCTGCTTCTAGGAACCTCAGCTCTCCCATTGCACAAGACAAAGTCAACTGCTTTCTTAATAAGCAGATGTTCATTTCATCTCTGCCACACCTTATGACATGTGTTCTCAAGCTCATTTACTATGCAGTTTCCAAATTCTGGCAGCAATATAATGAATTTCCTCATTTGAGTGTTTAATTATTTATTATTATTATTATTATTCTGCTTTCACTAACATTGTTGATGAGTTCATCCCAAGTATGGTTTCTTCTGAGGTTTATCTGGGTAGGGGACAAAGAGCTTTGCTGAGTTTTTTCCATTTGCAAAATACAAAAGCAGAAGGGTCATTATGCAATTAAAGCCTTGTCGGCAGAAGAGTGTTAGGATCATGTTGCATCAGTGAGCCTCTATGGCATAGTAAGAACTGCTCCGGAATCCCTTGTCCCTTTGTTAGCAACAGAGAAATGGTGATGTTTGGGGTCTAATGTTTGTTCCTGCAGGCAGCATATCACACAGCAAGACAATGTGCAGTCCTCGTTTTGTTTAAGTGTGTGTCCTTCTGTCTCTGGATGTGTGCCATTAATTCTTCCCATTTTTCTTATTGGGGCATTAAACCCTCTCAGTGGTTAGGCAGTAAGATTCTCTGCAATATTTGGAATTGTCCATGTCCCAGGAAAACCATGAAAACTATTCAGTTCTTTATAGGTATTTAAGATGTGTAATTTCCAGTTCTTCCATAGTTTAAGGTAGGTGGTATTGGAATTTACTTCTAGAAAAGTGAGAACATTTGGGTTGCTTCAACGGGAGAAGTCCTAAGTTAGGGCCTTTGTTCTCTCCAGTGGGAAAGTGTTCTAACAATGCTGCTTTCTTGTATTTTCTTTTTTCCTCTTCTCTCCCCTCCCTTCCCCTTCCCTTCTCTTTACTTTTGTTTCTGATTCCTGAGTTCACTTCTTCACTTCTGGAACTACATCACTCAGACAAAAAGGCAATTGGGATTTATAGATGCAATCCTAGATTCTTATGTGAGATAATCATACATCATACAATTATTTGCTTTTACTATTTTATTTGCATATTTCCATATGTAAATGGTGCATAGCTGTGAAAAT